CTCTTTCCCATCATGGCCCTGACAGTCTTGAAGCTGCCCCTGACTCCCATGCACAGGCTGAGCCTGTACCAACCTCCCTCCCCAAACCCAGAGTGAAGCTGCAAGTGGGCGGCCAGTGTGCCTGTCCCGTCTGTGTCACCGTCTGTGTGAGTCTGGTGGGAGCACGTCACCGGAATGCCCCTGTAGGTCTGCAGATAGCCAGTCCCCACTCTGCCAACATCATGACATTCATTGTCTCAGCAGACGCCAAGCACCTGGCTCAGCTGCCGATGGGCGTCCCAAGAAAGTCTTGCCCTGGGGGAGCTGACGGCCTGGAGGAGATGGCCCAGGCAAACAGCAATGGGGAAGGTGGGTTAATAGGGCACTTCTGGGGCCAAGGGGGTGCCAGGCCAGCTGGAGAAGCCAGGGCAGGCTTTGAGGGTGGGCAGCAAACAGTGTTCTGTGTGGAGGGAACAGCAGGTGCAAAGGCTCGGGGCACAGCAGGCATGAGGTATTATGGGATGCATATGGAACAGTTCTGAAGCTGGATGGCCAGGCTAGGCCTGCCCTGGTTGTGAGCGGCTGAGGGTGAGTATGATGGGAGAAGTTGAGCACTGGGTGGCTGCTTTGCAAAGGGGTGGACAAAGCAACCCTAAGGTCTTCCAGACCATCTGGAGGGACAGGCGGCAGGCCTGGACATGCTCCTATGCCCAAATGGACACTCCAGTGCCCAGGCATGCTCCGGCTCCCATACCCTTCACACACGAGAGACTGCAAGGGGGCAGGCCTGCCCCGGAAACTCACCTGCCACCCAAGCTGCCCTGCAGCCGCTTCACCAGGCTCTTCTTTTTTTTCTCCTGTGCAATGGCCAGTCCACAGTTGACCAGCTGCAGTGCCTGTCCAGCTGGGCAGCAGCGCACGCAGTAGCTCAGAACAGAGAGGTCCATGCCGCTGAAACACACCCGCTCCAGCACCAGCTCGGGGTGGCTGCTCAGGGCCTGCTGCACAAACGCGACCTCCTGCATCTCATACAGGCAGTACAGCAGCTCCAGAGTGTGGCTGAGCTCCTCCTCTTCCTCCTCTGGCTCCTCTGTGTCCTCCAGCTCTGGAGTCCCCTCTGCCCCCTCTGGTCCCACCTTGAAGCGCATCTGCTCTTGTATCCAGCGCAGGGCTTCCTGTTTCACTTGCTCTGAGACGACACAGTTGAAGTGGCGCTCGACATCGCGCATCCGCTCTGCGCTCAGCAGTCCAAAGAGGAAGCGCACGGTGAGTGCCAGGTGGCTGCACAGCTCTGTGTCGGGACACAGGAGCGTTCGAACATCTTCTGCGGGTGCCCTGGGAGCCCCCTCGTTCTCCAGCAGGTAAGACAGTGCGGCCAAGAACTCCTGAGAACTCTGGTCCATGAACTGGTAGGTGACCTCGATCTCCAGCACACCTGGGAGCTCCTTCTCGCTGAGAAACAGTGTCTGGACTTGGGAGCCACGAAGCTCCAGCCGCTCCAGGTCCTTCCTGGCAAACTGCGCCCTGCGCCCGAGGACGCCCTCGCGGGCCAGGCGGCACAGCTTGCGCAGCTCGCACTGCAGGCGGGGCCCGTGCGCTGCAGGAGCCGAGCTCAGCATGCTGGCGACGAAAAGCAGGTACACGGACGTGGTGGTCTTGGAGGTGCGCGACAGGTCCTGGCCCAACTGGAGCTGCTGGCGCAGCACGGTGCACACGATCCAGCACACGAAAGGCACGAAGCACAGCTCGAACAGCGTCTCGTTCTCCTTCACGAAGCGGTAGGCGCGCTCGGCCCTCCACTCATCCTGGAAGAACTTGTAGAAATACTTCTTCTTGTCCTTGTTGGAGAAGCCGCACACCACGGCGCACTGCGGTGAGCACAGGGAGCCCTGCAGCCTGTCGGGGGCGGTGGCTCTGGTGGTCACCAGCAGGAGGGCCGTGGGCAGCAGCGTCTTGCTCAGCAGTCCGCTCAGCACCCGCGCGCCGCTCGTGGCCTCGAAGGGGTCTTTGCAGGGCGCGGAGTCAGGGGCACCCGGCGCCTGCAGCTCGTCTGCGCCGTCCAGGATGAAGAGCAGATGCTGCGGCTGCG